TGCACGGGCATTTGACAGTAAATTTGCATATATTCTTCCGTGCATTATTGTAAAGGGTGTAGCACCTCAACGTTTTTGGAGAGGTGCATACCGCGAGTCTGTTCTCTGCCGGGCTGTTAAGGCGTCTCTTTCTGGTACAGCTACCTCACCAAAGAGCTGACGTTTGCGATTTCTTCTGTTTCAGGTAGACCAGCCATCTACGCCTGGCTCTTCCGCCAGTACTGTTGGCGATCAGCAGTCTTCAAGTGATGATGTACCTTCAGGAGGGGCGATTCTGAAACAGCGGTTGCTCGCACCTCCTAGTGTGAGTCGCATAGCTTTCTAGCAGATATGTCGACGCAAAGAACGCAAACAGCAACATACAACAGAGAGGATGCCCCGCGTCTGAAGTCTGATCTCAGCTCGATGCCAATTCTGCTGCAGTTGTGGATCCATCGTGCACGGGCATTTGACAGTAAATTTGCATATATTCTTCCGTGCATTATTGTAAAGGGTGTAGCACCTCAATGTTTTTGGAGGGGTGCATACCGCGATTCTGTTTTCTGCCGCGCTGTAAGGCGTCGCCTCCTAATACAGCTATATCAAGAGAGCTGGCGTTTGCGTCTTCTGTTTCAGATAGCCCAGCCGTCTACCTCTGGAGTTTCTATGAGAGCTGCTGGAGAGGGGCTTTCCGGGGGTGGGGTATCTCCAGGAATGCAGACTCTGTACAGCCGGTTGCTTGCCCTTCCTCAGGTGAGTTGGATAGCCCTCTATTATGCAAAGACTGCCTTCAGGGAGGCCCGGCTAATCGGTGGTTGTAACACTGTGGTGTGGGGCTTGTGGGGCTGCTTCCTCTGTTGATGCTGTTGATTGTATGGTCATTTCGGCTATCTGCTGATAACTGCCCTCTCGCGTGGGTCACACGTAGGCGATTATATAGCTATGGATATACATACACGGATTCACGTTGCAGCTTCTTTCCTTTTAAAGGGTGGCTGCGCTCTACAGCTGACAGCTCATGATACCCGCAGTTCTGTATGACTGCAAGTTCAACGTGCAGCTTTACGCGGTATGCAGTGGTGTTTTGGGCTTCCGAAATTTTCCTGCCGTGCAAAGTGTTTTTGTCATTTGTATGCGTTGTGCCGTATTTAGCAGCCTCTCAGCATTTTGTTTGTGCTTCTTGTTGCGTCCTGAAGACCTCAGAAAGCGCTCAGGCAACCGCGTTTTGGAGCGATGGTCAACATGACGATGACTGGTACAAGCAGCACCCGTTCTACCGCCTGCCAGTCCCCAGTTTTTTCTTACCCGTAGAAGAGTTTGACTGGAAGGTGCTTGTATTTTCTGCTACTCGTAGAGGTATCTGTAGCACATTGTCGAAGATTCGTGAAATTATGATGCAACAATCGGTGGGAACTACTGACCTCTTAGAACTCAAGCATCTGTGCTTTGAGTTGATGAAAATTGCAGTTTCTATGGGCCGCGGCCAAAGGAAAATCATGAGAACGTGTCACGCGCAAGATTCGCTGATCCGTCGTTTTCTCATTGCAGATGCCTTGTGGAGCATTTGCAGTGTGGTTGGTCCTGCAATGGCGATGCCGACATGGTGGTCTACGGTGATGGGAAAGCTGTTTTGCAGCCCCGAAATCGTATTCACGTCGTCGTTACCTAAAAACACTCGCAATCTTTTTATCCGTAGGTTAAAGGGAGCGCTGCAGATGTATCTCAGAGGTGAACGTCCTTTAGCTCGTGATGTGGTCGAGCTGAAGCAAGAGATCTTTTGTGGCGCTAGTGCCAAAAGCGTGTTTGGGCACCCTGATTTCGACAAGTGGAGGGACGACAATGCGGAGTTTTGCGGGATTTGAACTAAATGAGTGCATAAACTGCAGCTACAAGTGCGCGGTTGACTCGGGGGATGCGCTGTGCACGAATAATCGTACACCGTGGCAGCCTGCTGTACTCACTACGCGTTCAGCATTTCGTCAGAGGACAGCAGGATGCTAGCTGCTCCAAGGTTCACTCCATCAACGTTCTAGAAGTGGAAGTGTGCCCCAGCAGCTGAAAACAGGTCTGTTGCTGTGATGGTAAATAAGCCTTTTCAAAAGCACTGGCATATTTGGACCCCCCCTTGGGGCAGCGCTACATCAGAATGAAGCAGCTTAACTGCAAGAGCCCTGGCGGGCGCCTAATGGATTCCCCATTTTGCTACGTTTCATGCTGTTCTTGCATTTTATATGCGCCTGGTAAAGGTTTGTTTTGTTCCCACGTCGAGCATGTTCTGGCATAGTGCGTTGCCTCGCACATGAGGCATTTGAAGCTTGGGGGCAGAATGCGTTCTGGGGGCAGGTTGGTACGAGCTCAGCTAAATTCGCTGTAGCAGGCACAGCAGAGGGAACCGCAGGGCCTCTGTTACAAGCAGCAGCTTGTACCGAACAAACCCACTGTTTCCATCTTTGACACCATGAACGGCGTCGGCGGTGGAGCTGGATTTTGTGCCACCTGCTGGGTGCCTTGCTGTAGTCGGAAGGTGCTGGCTGTATCTGCAGGGCTTTTTACGGCGTTTAGGCGTGGATCATCCGTAAGTTGCTGGAGTTTCTTCCTCGCATTCAGGCCGTATTTGGGCACCTGTTGGCATTCTTTTCCAGGGCAAGCCGCTCACAGTGGATGCCGGTGAATCAGCACTCAAAGACAGTTGTACAATCCTGGAAGTTGTCGTATTCTTGGAAGAGTATGGAGCATTGGTATGGAATGGAGCAGCACTCGCTCTGCACTGGGCATGCAACAGTAGGATGCGGCAGGGGTGGGAGGTTACCTTTTTTCTTTGCGAGTCCAGCGAGATGGCAATGCTCATACGGGAGAGCTCTACACTGGTGGTGCGCATCTGGCCTCAGTCGCATGCTTCTTCGCAAGACATTCTCAAGCCATTGTGGCTTTCAGCTTCTATTTCCCTGCAGCAGTATATATGCCTGCAGGGATGTTCACCGAGAAGTAGGACAAGTAGAGTGTTTCCTGTATATTGTAGAGGTTAGACTGGAAGCAAAGGGAGGTAAATCCCAGCGTACTATGCCGCATTTTCACTTTATTTGAGCCAGAAACAATAAGGGAGCAGCAGAACCAGCAACAGCAGGCGCGCCTGCAGGCGCGCCTGCTGTTGCTGCAGAGATTCCTGCATAGATAATCTACAAGCACTCTGCTGAACTGCTGGCCGGAGGTGCAATGCGGTTTCAACCAGGCAATTTACTGAGGAAATTCGCATCTCCTTTTTGATAATTCCTATTGTGGGATGTGGCCTTCGCGAGGAACCGTGAAGCAGGCTGTGGTTTAACAGCGTTGACTACACTAGTTGATTGATTTGTGAGATAGCTCGCCTAAAAGAATTTTGTTCTGACAATGCACTTTTTTTGGCGTTGTGAAAGGCGGCATTAGGCTGTATCGTAGTCAGGTCCTCACCATCTGAAGATGTGTAGCTGTGCCTCTCTGTAGATTTGGCAAGGCGCGCAGATCCAGTTTCACATGCGTAATGTGGGCACTTTGCATTACCAAATATGAGTGCAACTGAATATCACTTGTAGCTCACGTGTTAGTTCTATTTTATTCATTTCTTCCCCTAGCCTGCTTGGAACCAGTTTTAGTTGTTGTGGAGGTTGAACGCTATGCGCCTGTCATATTTGATTCTTCCCTTCACCGCCAATTCATCCTTCCTCTATCTGAGAACGGTTCCTGGCTTTTCCTAGCTAAGCCCTTCGCTACACACGGTCCCCACCTTTTCACTGAGGCTTGTGACCTCTACCATCGTTGGTGTCAGCTCCTTGTCTAATTCGTCTTTGTTTAATTAGTTGTTTAGGCAACATTTGCGAACCCCGAAAACGTACTGAGTTTTCGGGGTGGCGCCGCCCTTTTGTAGCACGTCCGGTCACGCGTTCTTACAATAAGTACAACAATTCTCTACAGGATTAGTGAAGGCAGCAGAAGGCTGTTTGTTTGCGCTTCTATATGAGAAAACGCCGTGCAGCACTCGCTGCAGCGAGGTGCGTTGAAACCCATGATAGAGAGTCTCCTCTCGCCCAGCCCACTGGTGGCAATCCCCAGAATGAGTGCGGAGTAGAGAGCGGCTCAGCTCTATCGAAGCTCACGCAGGTCGAAAATCGTGGACATTCCTGACAGCAGGACTGACTTCAAAGCATCTCAAATGTCTAAATTCGTAACTTCCTGTACCACTCTCTGCTCCGTTTTGTACAAATAACCTGAAACTGCCAATATTACTACCGCACGCGCAGAAGCCGCTCCCAGCTTCCGCGACATTCGAAGTGGCAGGTCAACGCTCTAATGATATGTTGGAAGCCCCGTAAACCGCTGCTCAGAGACATTTGGCAAACTCCATGTTATTAAAAAAAGATACCCGATGAAGAAGGTTATATAAAACTGGCCTCCAAGCCCACCATCGGGGGAACGAGCCCACACGAGCAGATCCCGTCGTGCGGGGTAAGTGGACGGGCAGTTCTTTCTCTGCAAAAAGAACTGCTTTGCAATTGGAAACTTAAAGGAATTGGAGAAGGGTGCTCATCTGCATCTCCTTGGGGGAAACCGTGCCGTTACAATTTCTCGATTCTATGTCGGAGTACCATTGGGGAGTGCTGCACGTGCTCGCCTAGCATGTCGTGCAGTCGTGCGTTTTACATATGCCCTTCCCTGAAATTTGGAGGGTGATTTTTCTTGGTGTGAAATGCCGGTATTACCATGGAATGTGGAGTTTCAGTTCCCTGTGGGCCAGCTTGCTGGCGATGTGCTGCGGTTCGATTCGTCCCCCGCCAGCACTGGCACGCCTGAAGGCGCCGCTTTTCCTACCCCGCTCAAAAGTCGGAACTGCAAGGCAGCTATACTGATAGCTGTTATTTCAGCTCTTGTGGCCCTCATCTTGGCAGCCTATTTCTGTCGATTTCGAGGAAGCCTCCGGAAGGCAAGACCTCCAGTCATTCGCAGGCTGGCCAGCAATGAAGACGAGGCGTGCGAAAGTCTGCTTCGGCTAGTTGCACAAACTATCGCAGAAGAGGGTAATCTCGCTTTGGGGGCCAATGAAATTTCCCAGAGCGCAAGCACTGAGAGGGGAACTGGCTCTAAAGAGAGACGGCGTAAGATGGACAGCCAAGATGAGTATGCGGAGCACGCTAAGAAGGCCTTAGTTGAGAGTGCATACAGCCAGGGCAGTGGCTCGCAGGGTAGTGTGAGCCCCTCAGTAAGTCCATTTTTGCAGATATCTTCAGCCCAAGGGGAGGCTATCGACCAGTGGGATCTGGGGCACTCTGGAAGCTCGCACATCCTTCAGCAGGGATCTGATGAGAGCGGCCTATCGCCAACAACCAGCGGAGGTGAAATGACGTTGTTTCAGGAGGGGTATAGCCCAAGTCAAGAATGGCTAAACGACTTTTTCACAGTTGACGACAACGCTCATCAGTGGCTTCATGACTTTCCTGTTGATCAGGAAAGTCACGAAGTTCCCTTGGCTTCATCGTCACGAAGCGCAGGCCGCACAGAAACCTACTTGAATGATGCATCCAAGGTTGGCTCTGTAGGTGCAATCAATGTAGCGGACGAGCTAACCCCCAGAAGGAGTCCGAGGCCTAATATTCAGAGTTTGGAAGCTCCCAGCAGTACAAGCGATCATGCGCCGCCGCAGCCTATTCTGGACCATCAGGATGTGGGGGAATTGATGAGTGCATCTGGAATGCCTGGAGGGCCAAGCAGCAGCGTGACACTCGTGCAACAATACCAGTCTACCTTGGGGGTACACTACATTCCAGGACAGGAGGGCAATCTTTTGCAGGTGGGCAATGATGCTAGCCACGTGGTACATTGTGGCCTCTGCAGCGGTTTCTGTTCTGGCAGAAGCCCTTCGGAGGCTTGCGAATGAGATACTGTATATTCTTTGCATCCTTCCGGTTTGTCGTCGTAGTGACGGAGGCGGTGATGCTATTTTTCATTGAACTGTGCCCTCTGTTGGCGTTCGTGACCTTGTTTTCCGTTGCCCCCCTTAACAAAACATTTTACATGGAAGGTCGAAACGTGCTTTTGCTTTGGCTGCAGGCCCTCCCATCTACTAGTTTGTGGGCGCCTAACATCCCTGTGTACACCCTTCTGACTTCCACAGGTGAACCGCTGCCGTCTACGAGTCAGATCCAGGTGGTAGGGCCCTTACAGATTCAAGTGAGTTCCTAGTCTCTGAACACCTCAGGACAAATGCTGGAAACATATAGCCTTCAGATCCTTCCTTGTGTTCACCTATCTGAATGTGTTTTTCGTGCTGCTGACTTTGCTGGATTAATCCTAGTCCAGCCCCTAACTGACATCAGCCTATGAATGAGCGTTGTACTTCGCTAGCTCGCCTTAATGCTGGATGGCAAGTATTCTTTAAAGCTGTCTTCCTATCAGGCGCCTGTTGTATATCTTACTCCGTGACTATCTTCTTGTAAAACTATCACTTGGCCCTGATTACTTGTTTTCCTGTGCGTTGTGTTCCTCTTTGCATTTTTCAAGATTAGCGACAACGGCACCCCGCTAGATCAACATCCACTCTACCGTTTGCCAAGGGCTGATTGTACGGAAGGTCTTACTCCCTTTGACTATATAAGGGCTACTCTAAATACACGTCGAACTAGGCTCCCCGATGCGCTGACGTCAATTCAGGAGCTGCTAAGCAGAGAACGGCTGTCGCATGCGGAGACACAGGCATTGATATTTATGGCCGAGGAACTGGTAAAAATTGTACACACTATGGGCAAATTTGCGCGTGGACTTGTTCCCCTCTGGAAAGTACGCGAGCCCATTATGCGCCGATTTCTCATAGTGGATGCACTGTGGAGCGCTTGTGAAGTAGTTGGCCTGCCAATGCGGAGGGACAATTGGTGGCCTGAATTTATGGATAAGGTTTTGGCATTTCCCAGTGCTCGGATACCCTGGAGACGAGGGGAAGGTGCATCCTTTCCTCTTATCCACCGGATGGTAGAAGCGCTACAAGGGTACAGAGCGGGAAGCCGTCCTTCGGCTAGGGATGTAATTGAGCTCAAGAAGGAGATCCTTTGCGCTCCGGATGCCCCAGCTTTGTTCCGCTCATCTTCCTTTGATCGTCTTAGACGGCTTTGTACCTGATGCCTCGCCCATTCCACGATACAGCTGATGCTGCCGCTTCAGAAGGAGCTTAGTCGGAGCCCAAGCCCTGATCTCGTTCACTTCTCGTGAAGAAATACAGCATTCCTCGATTATCTACTGCTGCTATGGTGCATCCTATGAATTGGACAAGGAGTTGGCAGCTTGCGCATGCGGGTTCCAAGTCACTACCACCGAGAACAGCGACTGAAGTGAAGCTTTTCATGAAAACAATGATACCACTAGGACATATCCTCTGTTTGCCACTCCGGCGACCGCTCACGAAATGCCTGTTTTTTGAAGAGTTGTTGTCCCTTCTTTCAGATTCTCTAGGGCCAGCAACGCCATGTCGTTTAACTATACCATTTTCGAATGCCTGAGCCGCATGTAGGGTATTAGCCGCGTGGAAACGTAGTAGCACAGTATGGGCCTCACAACAGGGATCGCAAAAAGGGTGTCACCTTCTTTATGAACTCAAGCATGATATCGCAGTAGGTGGGTTAAGCAGGAAGCGCACTCAGCCAACAGGGAAGAGCACAAGGATTCCTCATGCTCCCAGTCGTTCCTAGAATGCCGGTGTTGTGAGAGGTAATTATTCATGAAGCCCGCATAACCAAAATAAGGAGTTGGAGCAAGCAAAGAATTCTTGATTTGAGGAGATGACGGATAATCCGACTGGTGGTTTGTAGGGCCACTTTGGTCCTTCACCAAGTTTCTTCTGCTGGCGTCATATCTTATGCCAATTCGTCTCCCCCCAGGAATATCGCTTCCCAGTATGCCTGCACATCCGTCGGATCAACAGAGGCCAAATAATTTGAGATAGCGCCCATAGGGCTGCGCCTACCGCAGTTCTCCATATGTTGGAGGGATTCAATGTAGATGACTCAGCCATCAAGGGAGAATCTCTAGAATGTGCGCTGTGACCATACAACGTCAAGCTGATACCGCTGGATTTGAGGGAGCCCGTTGGTTGCCTTTTTTATGGACCTGTCCCTGTGTTCATTGCTTGAATAGGCAGTGAAGTTCCAGGGCTTTTGCACTTATTGGAGCATGTCCGGTATATGCCAAGAGTAAACTCGATACTTCGCTATTTTCCTCCGTTCCACTCGATTTTATGTTAATGCCTTGTCTCCTAATCAGCTGCTTCAGCTGAATTGCAAGAGATTTCGTGATGCCGTGAGGAGTCTGCCACAGGGATGGCTGGACGAGACCACTTGTTTGCACGGCTAATAGCTGGAACTAGAGAACGAACCAAATGCAGCGTAGAGCAGTTCGCATGGCAAGAACTCAACCCCGACAGAGATGTAAGCAGCAGCAACCTGGCTAACCATCATGCTTGTTGAACGTGCGGTTTTGTTAGTTTCTGTTTGGCACCAAGCGGCGACAGCCCAATCCGTGGCACAAAAAGCAGGCATTGCTCACTTGCCGTGAAGGGTCTCATTGGAAGGCTTGTGAAAGTTCCAGAGCAGATGAAGCGAACAGACACGCTGGCTTCGAAATCCACTCTAGTAGCGTGCAGCAATGTCACTTGAAGCCAGGGTCCTTCTACTGCGCCCTAAGCTTTTCCACTGGACGCTACGAGACAATGTTCAATTTGGGGAAGAAACGTTGATGTGGATACTCGGCGGATGGTAATTTAGCGCATGGGGACCTCTGGCGTCACTCTATTGGAACGGAGCACGTAGTTGTTTTAGGGTAGCAAGCCCATTTCTCAGTTGCCGTTGTGCGCAACACTGGCACTCTCTTGAACCTAGTCATGCTTTCATGGGGTCTCCATCAAAATAAGAAGAGGCTTCCCTTTACACAGTTCACACAGCAAGGGTGGTGGGTGTATCCATAGTATCTATGAGGCGAACAAAAGTAGCTGTCAACAGTAAAGCTGTTCCTGTTTAATCAAATAGCCCGCTGCTGGTAGCGGATGCTCAACATACCGGGTTGAGCGTTACAAATTCCTAGCCTCTCGTGCGGCTGTCCAGCGGTGCTGGTGCTGCGGTGTGGTTCGCGCCATATACGCACCAATGCGGAGAAGCAACTCAGAAGCTGAGTCGAGGACTGCAAACGCAAATACCCCTCCAAATATGTCACAGCCAAACAGCTGCTGTTGTGCCAGGCTCCCAGTCAGTGCAATGAATACGGCCTGAGAGAGATGTAGGTTCTGTCTTAACTTTCGGCCTCTTCATGTCACGCAGGTTCACCCAACGCGTAAACCTGTGCCACGCGGTATATGCTTAACAGCTAGTTACAATGAAGTCATCTGCCTTTTAGCCGTTTCCGCTCATGCAAATACTAATCAACCGGCAACCTCGACCACCTCACTGCTGAAGGAACGTTGCCAACTAATGCCTTTCTGCGCTCGTCAAAATCCAAAGCTGTTGTTAGCCTGCTCATGTGGTTTATTTCTATACAAATCACAAACCATACTTTCGCGCAGAAGCAGTAATAAAGCCAATCAATGCAATGTTAAGGGTGCTTCCTTGCACAGAAAGGGCTGCAACAGGACTATGCTTTTTCTCTGACGTATAGGCTTCCGCTACGGAAAGTCCATGCAGCCATCCCATTAGAGACGCATCTTCTTCCCCCTGCCTTCATTCGGTTGTCTGCAATTTACTGTGCAGAAAAGCATAGTTTGCTCCCATCAAGCCAGCACAATCCTGCGGTGACTTCCTTACGGCCAGCGCGCATATTCCTCCCACATGCCAGTCTCGGGTAGCCACGCACCCTTAAGTTGAGGACGCAGAAGTCATTATCGTGCGAGGAAGGCCCTTTCTACCGAAGCAGCCATTGCTGGGCAGTGCTATAATTGGGGCAGAAAGAGCGACTGTGCCATACAACAAACATGGTCTCCATCAATTGTAAGTTACTTCATTTGGAGCTGCTGCGCTGAGTCTAAAGAAAGGCCTTACAGATGCCAACATTTCTGCCTCTGCCACTAACGTCTACCTAAATAAACTGCATTAATGAAGCGCCAGAAATGCACTACACTTAGCTCTGGATCATCTTCTAGATTACATCAAGCAAGTTCCCCGTGTACAGGTTACAACTGGAAAAAATGCACGTTGTTTGTGCTCTTCACGCTGTAAACCCCGTGAGGACGTCCCGCGAAGGTAAAGCTATCGAGGACGAAGGGGAAAATCGCAGTATTTCGTCTCAATGGAACGATACACGCGAGGGAGCATCGAGAACAGGTTCTGGCCCCCAGGAGAGCATGCGCCCTCCCTGTTATCCTCAGAGCACTGCGGCGCTGGCATGCCGTCAACTCACCTACACTCGTTCAACGAGCTTGCACAGGTCCTTCAAGCTCCTCCTGTACCTCTTTTGGTAAAGACCAAACCCACAAGCGGGCGCGCCTGCCCGAAACGGGCACCCCTGTGAATGCAATGAGCTCTTGGGCGTCATCGCTGCCCCCTACGGAGTAGCAATTGAGATCCTGGTACGCATCCCCAGCAGCAGGCGACGTTGGTTGGTCTTCACCAACTCCTTTATTGCGTGGGGCACCCGTCCGGAAGGGTCTAGGAGTGTCAGCCCTCAACTTTTTCTCACTTGTGCCCTGTAGTATGGCTTTGTCCGCCGCTGCTATCACGTTGTTAGACATAACTGCTTTTGCATCGCCAGCAAGGCCCAGGGTGACGTGCGCGTAGTGATATCCAGCCATGCACAAGGGCTGCAAATCTGAAGCCGCCATGTACACTTTGTGAGGCCCACTCACAGCACAGGAAGGCCCGCAGTTCCCTACGTCCGCATCAATCTCCCGTGCCGCTGCAACCTGGCTCGTGATAACAGGACCATCTACTTGGTACCCAGAGGCAGATTCCCCAAAGAAAGTGTTGCCTCCTTTGCAGACGTTGCTGGAGGATGTCTGCGAAGGGGTAGGCTCTGCTAGCGGTAGGACTGGGGAAAGAGGCGTTAATGCTGCGCACGCCAATCCGATATCCGTGAGGAGCAGGTGAGTCACCTGAAACTTGAAACGACGGCTGACTTGCCTCCGTGACGCCAACAGTTCGTACAGGCGCAGGATACGGGGACAAACGGTGCAATATGCAGATGTACCCTTGCTGGTGGAATCCAAACAAGACATGTTCTCTGTAGAAGTGGTGCGGAACTGTTCGTCCAGCCATTCGTTCGCAGCATCAATTTCTCCCTGGTTTGCTTCTAGCGTTCCTCCTCCCATGAAAAACGTTGTAATATGAGGACTGTCCACGGGCTTCAAGCTCTTACCCATGTCTACAACGGAAGGGACCTCGGCGCCCTCTGCATTTTCCACCGCTGCCAGTAACTGCTGGGTGAGCGAAGTAAGCGCCTCCTTCTCATCCCCTAGAAAAATGCTGAAATAAGTAGGAAGCCGCAGGACAACGTCAGCCGTGGGGAGCCTCACTGCCTGGAGCGAAGCCATGCGGCCCTCTTCCGGCGCCACTTGGCCTAAGTCTCCCTGATGCTGCTGCAACCTGCCCCCGCGGTCCACCTCCTCGTGAAAGCGCTGCCCCTGGCATTCCTGTTGCTGCTGGGGCTGCTGCTGTTGTAGCTGCTGCTGCAGCAGCTGGTCGCGCCGGTGCAGCAGCGGTTCCTCCATCGAAGAAAAGAGGCAATCAACATGGTGCAACAGTTCACCTGCACAACAGCTGATGCTAGCACGCTGGTGCGCTCGAAACTCGCCAAATAATGGACCCTCTGGCGGAAACTCCCTCAGGCTCGTCGCAAGATCCGAGTACACACGGTGGTCCTTCGGCAGATCACTGAAGGGCTTCAGGGAGGAGAGGGCTGCAAGCAGAAGGCGCTGTTGATTGTGCATCTGCTGCTGCTTCTGCTGGTAGTTATTTTGCTTCTGGTTCTGAACCGGCAGCACTGTCTGGAGCTGTAGCACGTGAGTGACGTTGGGATGCATCCGCAAAAAATCATATATCTTCGAATATCCTTTGAAGCAAGAAAGGAACGAGAGACATATATGCAGGGCCTTCACGTCTTGTGTAGAACATGAATCGGAGGCACCTTCCGAAAGCCCCTCCAAGGACGAGATACCTCGTCTTCCCCCCGCAAGCGTGGCATGGTCCCCGCGGCATAGCACCCTGTACATACAGCGCAGAACCACTTCAATAGACCAAGGGAAGTCCCAAGTGGTGTCCTGCGCCTTGGGCTGTCCAAGTGGCAGCCCTAAGTGCACCGACGATCCGTCTTGAGCCGCACCAGGTGGTAGCAGCAGGGCTGCAGTTGCAACTTTCACCAGCACCCCACAGCGCACTAAGACTGCCGACTGGAGCGCCTGCAACAAATCCTCCACCTCAGAAAAGCGGCTGCTCACGGCGTTGGGCGGATGATTCCTGTCCACAGCAACCAAGACACGAAGGGGGCGCCAAAAACCTGCCTCGGAAGTGCTCTCATTTCCCATTCCCTGCCTCTTTTGTTTATCCAAGAACACATTAACAAGCATGTCGGTCAGTTGAGTGAAAAAGCCATTTAGAGCGCTTCCCAAACCTTTTCTTCCCTCTGCTATTGCTGCCTTCATGGTCTTCTCATCCGGAAGCAGAGAGGATGCACCACTAATGTTCCCCTGACAAGAAGGGTAGTTCAGCCGGGCTGCAGCTGCCGGGCCCGCGTTTGATGCTTCCTGAAGGCACATCTCATGAAGCAGTCCGGTGGGAGCATTGTGACCTAGGGAGCGCAACACTTCGCCCGTAAATTCGTCAGAACTTAGATAGCAAAGGCAATCAAAGACAGACTCCAACGGGGCCGCCGTTGCTGTTATTGATGCTGCTGTTTCTGTTGCTGTTTTTGGTAAAGCCGCTGTTGCTGTAGCTGTGGTTGACGTCACTGTTGCAGTTGTGCTTGTTGCTGCAGCATCTACTGCTGTGGCCGTTGTTATAACTCCTGGCATCGCTGTCGTTGTTGTTAGCGTCCCCATCTTCCTTGACGAGTGCTGAGGCCGCCCCTCCCAAATAACGAGACCTGCAAGAAATTAAACCGAAACCAGAGCGCACAAGCCACAGGTAACGAAGGCTCAAGCAACTTTCAGTGCATGCAAAGGGTAAACCCAAAAACCTAGGCTTAATTTTGCGAATCTCACCAGTAACTCCTCCAACGGAGAAGGTGTTGCTGGACATGAATTCTTGTCTTAGCGCAGGACGCAGAGCTTCCAGCAACACTGTCGTCTTCCCGCTGCCAGGGAGGCCAACAGGCAGCAGTGCAACCACAGTAGCGGCTGGCGAGGGATTCCCGGGCAGCCCGGAGTCGATGGAGATACACACCTCGTTACAACGGTCACCGATGAACTCTGCCCCCACATTCTGGGGCAGAGAGGAAGAGGCAGTTGCGCGGGGAGGCCACAAAGGTGCCTTCAGCGCGTGCTGCGATGGTGAGTGAGATTCGTTGCGTGCAGTGTGCACCACAGCCCGAACTGCAGTAGCAAACAGTTGGAGTGCCTGCTTCCAGCTCCCGCTTTCCGGAAAACCACTTCCTGCGGCCAGGAGCGAAGCAGGAAGCCTCACAAGGGCTGGACGGTGAACGGAACTCCCAATCGCCGCCCGCATAGACTCCTGAAGATCTTGGGCGGCCGTGGAGTTGACGCAAGTGGCTTCCAGCACCTCCCTGTTACAGCACTTAGAAGCCAGTTTAAGAATCCCTTCTGAGACAGCTACGCTCTTTGCTTGTAATATGGCTCTGCCTACTGCAGCATCCGCCGCGAGAAAATGCTTTGCCTTCGTTGAGGAGGCATCACACGCTATCCCCTCAAAAGTACAGTGCAACATCCCTTCAATCGCACCATTTTGGCCAACTAAAGCTACGCCATCCCATCTATGTTGCTGCTCTAGCTGCTGCTTCTGTGCCTGCCTTTGCTGCAGCAGCTCGTGAAGCCTCTTCAACGCCACACTGCTGCCATGCTGATCGAGACCCCACAGCACAACCAGCGGCGCGGAAAGACCGCTATTCGCTGTGTCAGCGAAGGGAGCTGCCCTTTCACGGACGCCACAAGAACAGCTGCTCCTGGAGTCACGAAGGCAGCAGCAGCAACAGCAAGCAGTAGAACAAGCCCTGTGCCGCAGCAACAACCGGCATCCATGACAGAGGCAAACTTGCTCTAGTTCTTGGTACTGTTCAGCTGTCAGCAGCAGAGGAGGAGCCACGAGGCAAACGCTGACTGGCTGCTGCTTCGACCGCAGCGCGTTCACTTGCGCGAGCTGCTGCTTGTGCACCACGTGTTTTCCCTGTTCTCCCTTGGGGCACTTCAAGGGTTCGCTACTGTTTCCCTCCAGCTGCTCTAAAACTGCTGCGCCGGCCTCTTTGAGGTCTGCCATCCTGATAACATGGAGTGGCAGATTACCACTCCCGCCACTCCTGCTGCTGTTGGTCCTATCCAACTCCTGCAGCTGCATTAGCAGTTCCTGAGAAGGGGTGATCCAGTTTTTAGGGGCACCCGCGGTGGCAGCAAACGCTTTGCTGTCTGCAATAAAGTCCAAAAAGCGCATGTCAACATAACCAATCAAGAACCGAAGAAGGCAACCAGTAAAACTTGGTTTCCCTTGCTCGATTCGCCCGTGAACAAGGTCCTGAAGAAACGATAAGTCTTCCAAGTCTTTCTGCACGCCGCCGACGCTGCCTATTCCCACCTGTTCCCGTTGCTGTTGCTGCAGCGGCACCTGTTGCTGCTGCCAGAGCAGAGAGACCCGCTGTGGGTCTGGGAGGCACCTCAGCGCCAGCAGCAGCGCGCCAGCGAGCGAGCAGCTGAATGCTGCCGCCCTCCTAAAGTGAGCACTCTCCTCTCGTACTAGTCGGCTGAACTCGAGATGCAGTCGCTGCAGCCTTTGCGGCTGCAATGTCTTTCGCCCCCGCGGGTGCTGCAAGTTCAGGAGTTCTTTGATGAGAGGTAGAGAGGATCCCTGAGGCACGCAAGATTTGAGGGCATGGCCAAAGTGACTGAGTTGCCCTTCGAGAACGTCGCACCAGTACAATCCAACAATGGCAGCCACCTGGGCACGAAGAGCTGCTTCTGCAGCAGCTGCTCCCGTTGCTGGTGATGCATTCGCTGCCACACTTGCAGTTAAGTCCCCCTCGATTCTGTACCGGGAGGCAGGGGCAGCCGCAGCCCTCGAGGCAGCAGCAAATGCCTCAAGAACAACAAATGAGGCATTTTGCCTCGCCCCTTCCCTTTCGTCGGTTGGCCATCCTGAAGGACAGGCAGCAGCTGCTGCAGTAGCTGCGGCGACTGCTGCTTCCCAGAAACAGGAACTTCGTATCAGAAGTTTCATCCTCTCCCGTAACTTTCTGTGCATGCGGTAGGACGCTGTTTTGGCCTTGGCAAGAGCGACAACAGTGGACCCCCCTTGAGACAAACTGATGCCACTGCTGCTCCCACTTCCGCTGTTGCTGCTTCTGGTGTTACCACCGCTGCTACATGTGCAGAAGTACAGGACAAGCCCCTCGGTGTCGCCGGCACAGGACTCTTCCCTCTGTTGCTCGAGCTGACGCAGCTGCAGTAGCAGCTCCACAGGGGACGAGGCCGGCAGCCGCGCCACTACTGTTGCTGTCTCGAGGCCCAAAGATTCAAGTAGCGGCAGCGATACTCCTGGGCTGAGGCAAGGAGGCTCGCAAAAAGAAGTGCCGACGGAATTCAACTTGTGAGGCACCAACGCAAAAAACGCCAGTCTCCCTGTTTGTGCCTCCGCCTGTTGCTGCTTCTTCTGTGGTTGGTTCTGCTGACCCGCCTCCTGCTGCTGCTGCTGTTGTTGCTGCTGCTTCTGTTGTTGGTACTGCCCGTGCTGCCGTCGCTTCGGCGGGGGTACGATGTGCTGCTTCTCCGCGCTGTCTATCAGCTCGCCGACCAGAGTATGGCTCTGCAGCAGCTGCTGCAGCTGCTCGACCTGCGTGCAACCTCCACCGACCCTAAACCTCAAACAATAAATTCCAAACCCTAAATCCTACGTCGTAAACCCTTGGCGCTTCACCCTGAGAGCTGCCAATGCTTCAAGAAGCATACAACACGCCCTACAGGCATTCAGCACGGTGGGGATCTTCTGGTGCTGGGCATCCACAGGACAGCTGTCTGATACTACTCACAAGACTTCAAGCTACAAAAGCAAGTGCTAAAAGTCTCCTTACCTGTTCTCTGGCCAACTTTTGCAGCTGATGCTGCCAGGCAGTAGCAACCCACAATGCATACTGTTCTCGGGGAGGGCGTCTTTGTTCTTCGAGCGAGAAGGGCTGTGAAAGGACGCGGTCAGCCCCAAGCTGTCGCAGCAACTCAACAGCCTGCAGATGCCTTTGTTGATGCTGTTGCACACCCGAGTGTTCCTGCAGCTGCGACGTTCCCTGCAGCCCTCCCTCTCCTCGCTGCTGCAGGGGAGCCGCCGCAGCTCGAGCTGCAATTGCTCCTGGCAAACTGTGTTTGCAAATATTGGTAGCAGCAGCAGCCGGGAGGAGAAGACACACGTTCTTGCTGCAGCATGCCCACACCTTGAGTTGGCTGCAAAAGGAGATCTGTGCAGCCTCTCCATTTAACTTCTCTAGGGCCCATACTTCCACCGAGCCTTCCTTGCTACTTTCGCTGCAACTGTTGGTGCTACAGCTCCTGGCTGCATCGCCGTTTGCACTGGGAGGAGAGAAGCACTGAAGCAGACACTGTGACAGCTGGTGCGCAGACAGCAATGCGTCATCAGACTTTTGCTTGGCAACACATAATGCACTGCAAACAACAGCGCCTTTCTTCTGCTCCTGTGGCTGTTTGGACCCCCTTCCTTGCTGCTGCTGCTGCTGCTGCGCAGGCTTCCAGAGCTGCTCTACCACCTGTTCCCCTTGCGGCTGCTGCTGTTGCGAGAGGGCTTGCAAGAAATAACAGGCGAGCAGCTCCCAATCGAGATCAAAAAACTTTGGGAGGCCCCGCCGCACCAACAGACGGAGCGGCTCCTTAAGGTGCTGCGCGGACTGTTGCTGTGCCTTATGTTGCTGTTGCTGCTGTCTGGGCGTCTCTGTGAACTCCAGGAGTGTCAGACCCCGCCGCAGCAGCGGCCTAAGCTCTGGGCAAGCGCACAGTAGCTGCTCCTCCAGGTGCTTATCCTTTACAGATATATCAAGAAGTTCTACTTTCGTGTTGCTGTTGCTGTTGCCGCTGTGTCCAACCATGTCGCAGTCCGGCTCCCTAGAACCCCCTGTGGCTGTTGCGTTTGTTGCGCCACCTGCAGCTGCACCTTGCGTTCCTGGAGTGGATTCTGCATGTGGAGTTGTTGCTGCTAATGCCGTTGCCGGCACAAGTGGCACAAGTGTCAACTTGTCGAGCGGACGTCTTACCAGCATGAGGGACGACGGCCTTATTTTCTTACTCGCCAGTTTCCCTTTGACTAGCGGAAGGGCTTCAGCAGCGGCAGTACGGGATCCTGCTGCTGCTTGCTGCTGCTCTTGCTGCTGCATATTCTTCATCAGTTCTTGCATAAGCCGCTCTGCTTCCGCCCAGCCATTCCAGTCCGTCTGGGTACCCCCATATCGACTCTCTGTAGCACACGAGCTGCCTTCTGCAGAACGAGCCATAAGGTCGCATTCTCCGCTGGGCATCTGAGTTCCTTTCTTTATGTGCTGGCATTCTCCTTGCACGGTCCTTGCATTCTCCCCCCGCTGAGCGCCACGCGGGGAGGGGCATCCGTCCATCGGGCGTGGTGGAGGGGAAAAAAACACCTCTCAGCCTCGAAGAAGTGTGTTGTCGTTTCCTCAGTTTAATATACACTAAAGTCGAGAAAATGCTGGCAAGTGCTAGCCCTGGAACTGCGCCGGTGCCGCGTCGCGCTCCTCAATCGACCCGATCGAGCAGGTTACGCCTCCCTAGTCCACGTTATCTGTTCCATCCATCTTGAAGAATAACAAAGAAAATGCCTGTCCTTTTGCCATTTCTGCCGAAATTCGAGTAGTTATTGGGTAGGGTTCAAACTTTCCTTGCTATGCAGTCACCGGTGCGGAGGCCCACCATCCCCAGTACAGCGATAGCCCGACGGTTGCGGCGCTCCTTGTGTCGCTTAAGGGCTTCCTGCAAAACCACGTTTAAAATGTCCTGATCCCTATGCAGAAGCGGCTTAAAGGCTCTGCAAATGCTCCACGCACCACAAGCAACACAGGCTCGTCTGGAGGGTCGGTCGGCACTCGGAAGGCACGTACCACACAGGGCTTTCAAGCCCTGGCTTAAACCACCTAGTCTTTATATTACTCAATAGGCGTGCGTGGGCTTTAGACGAAGGTGTAGCTGCTGGCGTGCACGTATGTCTGTGCAGCCCGACCGAGTATGTGTGTGCTGCGTGCTTTCTACGGCAACTTGTCTTTGCAACGCTCATGGGCTGTTTGTAAGTTCTGCTACTGCTACTGCTTGCTGCCCCATGCAGGGAGCTGAAGAACTAAAGAGTTGTATACGCGCTTGAACGGACACACGGAACCAAAACATCCCGACTGAGAGCAGTTAAAACGCCCCAAAGACGGGGACGCCCCCAGTAGGAAGACTCCCCTCCACTACACTTGGGAGCAGAAGCAGCACTGTGCCCGTTGGTACTGCGCTTGCAGCAGCAACACACGAAGACCTAGAGCTGCAACGGTAGCCCTCAGCTCTTGCTTTGAAATAGAACAGTCCTAAGGGATGCATGCTCCAGGTAAACGACTTGGTGGCATGCGCTTGAGCATCAAGCCCTGCAAGCAGAGGTCACTACCAGTGCCATCAACGGGTCCTCCTAACCGCCGTTAAGTTGAGTTGCACGCCACAACCTTGTGCCAGCTATACTCCCTCATAGACCCGTTTTCAAAATGCCAAGAAACCCGCAGGCACCCATAGGGAATCCATTCACAAACTGAGAGCTCGATCTTATTGTGGTAATGCCGTCTCCAGCTAAAGTGTTTGGGAGGCGCGTCAGTTCCCCTCCTGCGATTCCTGTTCTTGCGTAGAGTTATCTCTGCGCTGAAGGTAAACTGAAGGGGAAGCTGCTGCTATATTTGCTGCTGTGGCCTTTCCTGTGCCTTCTGAAGCAGCACACATCTCGAGAGGTTCTCTCCGAAGCGTCCCTAGCAAGCGTCCAACATGCCAGTGCAGCGCTTCTGATTTGGCCACTTAGTGCTTGGCGGGTTCTGTGTGTAGGTTGAGCTCTCGCAAGAACTGCTGGCGCGGCTCCCAGCACTGTACCTTCCTCGCTTTTCTTCTTTTTTCCGGTGCGCGTAGCTTCACGAGGTGAGGTACATAACACGGCCTTGCGCGCGATGATTTTAAGGGTCCCAACGCGGCTTGTGACGCCCCTGCAACGCCTGCCTCCCACCCTGCTTGGATGTTCTAGGGCCCGGGTCATCCTGCAGAATGCAGAAGCGGTAGCAAGGGAGCAGTTCGCGTTAGCTGAAAGGTCCCTCCCGCGGGACGCACCTTCGAGGGGCTCCTTACTCGGGATGCGCTCGCCAATGGGGGAAGCAACAGCAGTTGAGAGCGCCAGTGATGACAACGCACGCATCAAGGAGAGGTGGCGCTGGGCCATCCACAACAAAGCCATGTTTCGTCGCATGCACCGGGGTGAGACAGAGCCCACCGCGATGCCGATAGAGTGTTCGGCTTTGTTAAAGCCGAAAACTCCGTCAGCGCCGTTTCTGAGGTCCCCAAGAGGGTTCCACTGCCTCTAGTTCCGTCTGTCCCTAAAGGCACGGCGCCTGCCTAGGAACCCCTCTAAGTTCCTAGCGAGGGCAGCCGCGCGAGGCAGCCCACCCCTAGGGAGTTACAAGGGAAACGCTTGAGGCAGCACTGTATTAAGGCGATAGCTAGAAGGGTAGAACATGGATCCCCTTGCGGCGCGGGGCCTGACGCGAGATGGCGCGGGCTTCAGGGAGCCAAGGGAGGAGGTGGGGTGGATGGGGGGACCCCCCACGCCAAGAGTAGAAAGCGGTGCAAGAGAGCCCCCCTCCAAGGAACGCCGATATAGATTGGTCGAGGTTGTGGAGGAAGACACGGCTGCAGCAACGCACAAGTACACAGCAAGCCCAACCCGTCCGCTCCAACAACAGCAAGAGCAGATAGAGCAAAAAATGTGCTCAAGGAGCAGCAGCGGCAGCAGCAAGGGCAGGAGACACACACAAGGAAAATGGCAGCAATCCCAGAGACAGACGCAGCAACAGCAGCAGCAAGCAGCAGCAGCAAGCAGCAGCAGCAGCACGGGGGAGTTACTCGAGCGCTGGCTTTCGGCTTCTACTGGGGGGATCTGAGTCTCTGTTTGATCTTTTTGCAGCCCGAAGGGATCGAAGTCCACAGCAATTGGGGAGGATTCATCTGCTTCCTTTTTGATTGTGTCTGGTTCGCGAGTTGTCAAGGATTCGAGAGGGCAGCTGCTCTCTGCCGCGGCAGCAACAGCGACAGCAACGGTCCCTTCTGACGCGGGGAGGGGCTCGTCATTGGACGGCCCCGGGCAACAGCTTATTGCTGTGAAAAAATCCCTCACGCAGGGGAGGTCGATGTGCCGAGCCCTGCTGCTGTGTTTATGTTCATCTCCTTCATCTTTTTCTGGGCCTGTTGAGGGGGCATCCGAAGCTTTTGAGTCCTCTGGGTTAGGGGCAAGGCCTTGCAGGAATCGTGCGTCTCCAGCGTCTCTGGTGGGGACGCTCGGGGTGTTGTAAGCCAAGAGGAATAGAAGCTCCTCCTTGCTAATGTGTTCCAACAGCGCCTGCCTCAGGAGAACGTTTTGCCGCATCAACTCGGAGTTCTGCTTCTGGAGGGCCGTTTCGGGCATCTCAGCAGGTGTCAAGTCTGAACACCGAAGGGGCGCCTGCTGGGAAGATTCCGCCCCTGAGGAGCCCTGGGGAGCACACGACGGGCGAAGGTCCTGAGCACTGGTCTCAGTTGAAGGGGATATAGCTGATTTCTCAGAGGGGCTGACGCTCGCGTCATTTGGGGTCTGCTGGCTTTCTCGTGGGGTCTGGGGGTCATTTCTAGGACTCCCAGCTGCCTTCTTCGCGCCCTTCGCAGCTGCAGGTTCCCGATGGGATTTCCCCCTTGGTGTATTCTTGCTGCTGAGGCCTCGAGAAGGAGAATGATGGCCTTTGCTGTCCACGAATGCGTCTCGCTTTTCATCCCTTCTCGGCGATGCAGGAGAAGTTCGCATGCGTTGAGCCCCCAGCCGGTCCCCTCGGGCCTCATCCAGCCGCTTCTAAAACGCCGCAGAGAGCACAACTCAAAGCATGCAGTCTGCAACAGCAGCAATTAAAATCTCAACCATATTTTGAAAAGGGGCAGAGAGATGTTGTTTTTCTTGAACTTAGGGGAGCTATAGCTTCCTGCTGAGGGATTTAGGGCATCTCACCATTCTTTGACTCCTTAGAGATTTGGGCTGCGCCATTTTGCCCAAGGGGGAAGGCCCCGAGGCATCAACACTACTGCCAGGCCTTCTGGATGAAGGCCGCAATATGGGCCTCTCGAGTCCCGGTGACGACGGGTTTGACTCGACAGTGTGCCCCATTCTGATGCTGTCAGGGCCGAATCCCATTGAAAAAATCGGCTGAGCAGCCTCTGCGCAATGGAGAGTGCCCGCGGTGCTGTGGGCAGCCAAAGGGAACCAAAATCATGGCTCTCTGTAAAGCAGAAGAGGATGTCAAGGCAGAGTCGAACACTCAGGAAGCTGCAAGCCGTGCCGACAGCAGCAGCGATGGCGGCGCCCAGTAGCTGTACGATGGGTGACGACCTCTGTACAGAGCCAGGAGAGTGATGCAACTCAATGTAAAGGACAAAATGCAGGAAACCTAGAAAAGGAGAACGAAATACAGAGAGGATCTGTCAGGCGGTCTGAAGCCACGAACGGACCATTGGCCCATCCCAGGACTTCGTCGCCGGGCCTTGAAAGGGCCCGTTGTATCCTTAGGTAGAAAGAGGAAAGCCTTTTATATCTCCTCAACAAGCCTAATGCAGCTCTGGTGAGCTAAGTCAGAGAAAAACCAGTGGTTGGCGGCCAGGCCTAGCGGAAGGTCAGCTGCCGCCTCGAGGTGCCACTGGCTGCGCTCAGTCCGCAGCTCCAGCAGTTGGCCGTTGGCCTTTCCCTTCTCTTCATTTTAATATTATTTGGTGTTATTTGGTTATTGCCGGGCAAAGGTGAGTTTAACTGCAAATCAGGCCACTAGGAAAAGGAACCGCTGCTTTGGGCACAGCCGCGGCAGGCACTGAAGCAGCGACCCCAAAACGGCCAAAAACGTGAAAAAAGACGGATGCCTTACCCACATGTTTCGAAATGGAAGGCGTAATGAAATATTTAAACTTATAATTTAGATTCTATGAAGACATGCAACCCGGCAGGCTCCTCCGCTGCTCAGGGCCCCACTGCAGCTTCGCGTTACGAACACGCGCAGATGGAGGGTTTGTTGCTGCCTAACACCTCTTCATACACCTGAAATTCCTGTGGATGGAGTTAAAAGCTGCGCCGCTGGTGCAGCCTAGACACTTTAGCAGCAGCCTTTCCCAAGTCGGCAGCACCGGTCCCTGGTGCAGCGGCTGCTGGGGCAGCTCGAGTGCTCTCCGTTGCGAAGCAGCTACGGCCGAATCAGCATTTTCTCTGAAAATGCCGTTGTTTTTGTTTGTTAGGGTGTTCAGAAGTATGCCTTTGCTGCTGCTGCAGTACCTCGTGCACCAGGAGCCAGCAGGGTGCTCTCGGAGACAAGTGGCAACACAAGCTGCAGCGGCTCTATCTCAGTAGCCTGAGGCCGCAGCAGCAGCACACGCTGGGCTTTGTGTGAATTCAGGCGCATACGCCTTACCAGAGGCACAGCACAGACCCACGGCATGGAGTTATGCCGGACAATTGCGCCCCATGCGACTGGTTACTGCTAACTGCGGGATATTTGTTACTCGGGCTGCTGACACCGTAGAGGCACCAGATACCACTGCTACACGTGGCGAAGCAGCACCGGGTGTTTCTGGGGCTTCAGGGCTCAACTAGGTACGTGACTCAGACCGCGACCCCGGCAAGAACACGGCAAGAACGGCTGCACCATCTGCACTTACCGTTGCTGCACAAGAGACACGAGTAAATTCGCAGCTCGATAGCTCGGCTTCTGGGGTGCAGAAGCTCGGCAGCTGCACTGGCCTTCGTTATGGGCGAAGCAGCAGACGGCGTATCAGAAGCACTGTCGCCCCCACGAAGACCAGCAACTCCCGAAGGCGGTCGAAAGTGCAAGAAGCCTAAGTGAAAGAAATAGGAGCATCTGCAACAGCTGTTGAAAAGGACAGCAGCAGGCTCAGCGGTAACAGACAACTGCGTTGGCTGCCTTGGCTGCGGAGGGGGCAGACATGCGTAGCACCTCCCGCTCTGCGCAACAGCAGCCGTAACAGCAGCACAGTATGTGTACAGCGAATATTCAGCAACAAGGCCACAGCAAAAGCCACAGCGGCCGCAGCCATTGCAGGAAACACCGCTTCCCTTGGCCCCATACATGGTTGAAAGCCTTCTGGGGATTTGAACATTTCTTGTGGTTTACTATAGCCACCCCCCCTAAAACCTATGGCTTTATGATTCAGGTAGATATGGGGCTTGCAGCCCAGCTTTGCTTTCAATACAAAAGCTCTCGCACAGCACATCCGAGGTTCTGACCACAAGCATAAGGGACGGACCATGGGTATGCAGCAGAGACAGCAGCAACAGCCGCAGCAGCAGAAACAGTTGTAGGAACAGTCTCTGCTGCTGTTTGTTTGGATCCCTTTTAGTTTAACATTTTTAACGGGGTATTACGCTCATCTACACTGCAGAGAAACCCAGCTGGAGACGCGGCTCACAACCGCCGAGGGGTCGACGCCTCTCCACCTGTGGGAGTGCGAAAGCCTAGTTGAGCAGCAAAAAAAGACAAAGTGACGAAAGGGGTTTGTTGGTTTCACGGTGTGTGTTCGCCCTTTTGCGCTGCACGTACACCGCAGCAGCCCCCAGCCCCGCAGGTGACTTCCGAGGCCGCAGTTATTGAGAGCTGCAAACCCATCTTTTGGGTTGATACGTTCACAGGTACGCGGAGAACGACCCCAACGATACCGGAATTGAAGGGCTGGAGGGCCAAATACGAACAGGAAAAAACAGGAATCCTACCCCGTCTACTGAAGGTGACAGGGGGTGCTCATTCTCTAGGGGGAAATTTAAAAGGCCCCTGTTTATGTCTCAAATGCCGGAGGCGAGAAATTTGTCTAAAATGCCGAATAATGTATTTTCGGATTCAAAAGCAAACAAACAAGAAACCCGGACACCGACGTAAGATGCACGCCGACGCCTGCAGCTGCTGCAACAACCACCCCAGGGACACAAGGACAGGAGCAAGAGTTTTTTGCCTAACTATTTTGGGGCTTCTCTACGACCATTTGAGCGGCATCTTTATATTGTTGGCTCTCGTAAAATAAATTGTTGGAGGAGAGACAGTTGACAGAGCGGAACCGGCAACTGTCCTTGCAACTACTGCACTGCCCAGGACACAGCGGAAGCAGCAAAAACGACGAAGCGGCTTTTGCTGCTGTCAATGACGGCTCGTGTTGGGCTTGTAGCGGCTGCTGCTTTAGGTTAAATTGGGGGGATGGGGGAGGGCACAGCAGCAGCAGTATTGTTTTGCTGTTATCAAGCAACGGCGCCGCAGCAGCAGCCGGCAGCAGCAACACCAGCGCCTCGTTGCTGCAGCGCAGCAGCAGCAGCAGCGGTAGCCACGGCTTTTTTGGCTGAAACGCAGCAGAGTTTGCATACACTCAAACAAACTAGCCCAAAGAGGATCTTTTTCGCATCCTCTTCTTCTTCACTCTCCGTCCTCTCTGCTTCCTCCTGCTGCCTCGTGGCAGCAGCAGCTGCAGCTGCTGCGCCCGGAGCAGCAGCAACATCCCATTTAAGGAGCTCATCGAGAGGCTTCATCTAAGCTAAAAACTACACAACGCACCGCCAAGGTGGCTATTTCTGTCGTTTAAGGAGCCGGGGTCCTCCGGCTCGCCGAGCTGTGGCCTCGCAGCAGCAGCAGCAGCAACTGCTGCTGTTGCTGCTGTCCACTTTCCGCTCTGAAATATACCGCGGTATTCGTTTCAATCTTATTTTTGGCTTTTTTGCCGGATCGTAGGCCGTACTTTCCGGCGATTCTCTTCTGCTGGTGCTGCACTTGGTGCCTGGGGGGCGGGTCGAGAGCCTGGGTGTTCTCCAACGGAAACCAACAGCAGCAAGACGCTTCCTACTGCTGCTGCTGCGGGTGCTGCGGGTGCTGCTGCTGCCCTGTATGAGGACTTGAATAAAGGGGGCCAAAGCAGCAGCTGCAGCACCTGCAGATAATCCTCAGTTCTAGGCGCAGTGCGTCCAGAGGAGCGGTGCAGCAGCAGCACCCGTGAGGGCTGCAACAAGAGCAACGCCAGCAGCAGCCAGGGCGGCAGCACCAGCAGCAGGGTAGGCGCTAGTATCGACAGGATCGGAGAAAGCACATGCGGCGCATGTGATCGCAGCAATCGCAACAGCAACGGGGACAGTAGTGACGCCAGCAGCAACAGCATCGCGAGTTCAGGCGCATCAGATGGCGGGTGCATCCCCAGATCCCCTGGCCGGCGTGGAGCACGGGTCAGGAGTAGGTGTTTCTCAAGGGCAGCAACAGCAGCCGGATCGGGGGAGAGTTGCTTCTTCCGATGCTGCGTCTCTTAGTGCTGCGGAGGAAGAAGATGAGCAGAAGCAGGAGGAACGACAGAGCCAGAAATCCCCAGAGGGAAGTGAAGACAGCTCGAAGCAACAATCTGTAAATGGCTGGGGTGTCAGATCGCCGCCAGCAGAGGAGCAACCGCAACTGCAGCAACAGCACCAGAGGGAAACAGCACGAGCAGCGGAAGCGCCTGCATTAGCAGGAAGGGAGAACAGCGCCGAAGCACTGGCAGCATCCGAAGTAGCGTTGGGTGAGCTGTCTGGAGGGCTTCCTTCTCTTGCAGCATTTTTGGCCGGACAGGCGAATTTAAAGGCCTCCACTTCATCGGAGGCCGTCTCTAAAGGGAATGAAGGTTCCCACGAGAAGGGAGAAGAGCCGTCTGAGGGAGCGCCATCTCCCCCCTCAGCAGCATCAACAGGTGCTGCAGCAGGAGGAGCATCTAGGGGCGGCGGGCCGGCCGCGGCAGCAGCAGCCGACGAGGGAGCAGGCGAGACAGCAGAGGCAGAGACAGAAGCTTCAGGTGCGGATGCGGGTGGAGATGAGAGCAGGGAAGAAGGCGGATTGGGTTCTTCAGCAGCAGCAGGGGAGGAAGCTGCTGCTGCAGCAGCTGCTGCTGCTGTTACACCGCGACGGCGGCAGCGTGTGGTGGGGCCCGAGTTGTACTTGCGTTGGCAGATGCTGGCGAAGAGAGTAGAACGCGTCAAGGGTGTCTGCTACAGCAGCACTCGCCACGAGTGGATCGCGGTGGGCCCCGTGCAGCAGGGCAGCAGCGGGCGGAAGAAGAATGTGTATTTCTCCGTTCCGAGGTATGGCTTTTCCGAGGCAAGGCAGCTGGCTGTTGAATGCAGAAGAAGACAGGAGGAGATCCTCGCGGGCGGTGGAGACAAAGCCGTAGACGCAGCCGCAATTGCAGCAGAACTCACGGAGAAGTACAGGCAAAGAGCAGGAGCAGCCGCAGCAGCAGCAGCTGCTGCTGCGGCTGCAGGCCACCCGCTGCCTGACGGCGAGGACAGCGACGAGCTTGAAAGACTCGGCCTCACCCTCATGGAAGAAACCGACGAAGGCAGCAAAACAGATGCAGAGGAAGCATCAGCAGCAGCAGACACAGATAGCAGCAGAGGCGCCGCATCGGCTGCTGCAGGCAGCAGCGCGCAGCAGGCAACAGCCTCCCCCTCAGGGGGTAGACCCTACGAACTGCGTAAGAGGCGGCCTCCGACAACTCACCTCAGTGATGACGAAGCAACGGACGGAGCGGCCAGGCGTTCCTACACTCGAGCGCAGCAGCAAGCGCAGCAGCAGAACAATCCCAGAAAGAGAGGGAGGCCCCCGCGATCCCGCGGTGGGGCACCACTAAGTGACTTGCCAGCGTTCGGAGGCACGTTCCCTGCTGCGGATCCGCAGCAGCAGCTCTTGCTGCAGCAACAGCAGCAGCAGCAGCGAGGAGTTGTAACTGGTGCTTGCAATGCAGGCAGCGGCACCCAAGGAGCTGGCACCAGCAGTAGCAGTAGCGCAAGCAGCAGCAACACCATTAATATGCGTCTTTTGAGTGAAGCCCTTGGGATGGTGCTGCAAGATTTGCTGAGGCTCTGCTCCTCCCCTTCTGCCCTTATTGCTGCTGGTGTTCCTCGCGACGCTGTAGATCTCTGCGCCCTCAGCTGCCGTTGCATTGAAGTAAGTCAACTTCCTCTGACTGTAGCAGCAGCTGCCGCTTCTGCTCTTTTTGCTTGCTGCACGAGAAAGCCCTTCTGTGTTTCTCCACAGCAAGAAGAGCTTGCCGATAGCGAGTCATAGTGTTTTTAAGCTTCCCCTTCTTTGTTTCGGCGGTAGCAGTTCTCAGGACGGATACAAATGATATATTGGCGTGGGGGTGCTGCTACTTCTGCTGTTTTTGGTTCTGCTGCGGGTTTTAGGCCAGTCAGCGCCGAGTGAGGGCTGCTACCTCTCCGCAGGAGCTGGAGGAGTTTGTGTCCCTCTTCAGAGATTGCATCATTCAGCATAGACTGCCCAGCAGCAGAAGGCCCGAACAGATCCTCCTCTACGTAGAAGCTCTCGCCAGAAAAGAAAGCGCTGCTGCTGCTGCAGCTGCTGCTGCTGCGGCGGCTGCTGCGGCTGCAGGTGGAGGGGCCGCAGCTAGCGGAGCAGCCACGGCAGCTGCAGCAGCAGCTCCAGCAAGCGGACTCAGAGGCTCTCAGCTGCAACAGCAGCAACTGTTGCTGCTGCAGCAGAAAGCTGTAAAAAGAGACGCATCACCCGTGAGGCCTCTTAAGACGCTGCCGTCGGTACCGCCACAGCAGCAACAGCAGCAGAGACTGCAGCAACTCCAGCTATTGTCCCTGCTGCAGCAGCAACAACAGCAGCAACAGCAGCAGCACGAGGGGCTTAGAAGGCCAGCAGCAGAAGCCTCAACTTCCCCGCCAAAGGATGCGATCCTCCGAAAGTGTAAGCGCAAAGAACGAATAGTGCGGCAGCGTCCTGCTGCCATCGCACCAGCAGCAGTAGCTGCTGCTACTGCTACAGTTGCTGCTGCAACAGCAGCAGCAACCGTAGCAGCCGGTGGGACCTCGGCGGCGGCAGGCAGAAAAGAGGATTGTCTGTTCTTCTCCGTTGCAACTGCATTGTGGCTGCTGTCCTCTCGTCGCCAGTCTTTGGTTTTTTTCTGTGTTCGTTTTTGCCTTGGAGCCGCTCTCCTGAGTGGTGGAGCGGGAGCAGGCGTGCGTTTGGTTTTTATGTTTGGGGCAGCATGTCATGAGTGTTGCGCTACCTGTGTTGAGTTGTGTTTGTTCGTCTGGGATGGGGATTTGCAGACGGTATGGCGTCTTGTGGTGTGTCGTTGCGGAGTCATCATGAGTGTGGTGTTCCCTTGCGGGGCGTTTGTTTCCTTGTGCACGCAGATGTAACGTTTGAGGCGTGGAGACGCTCTTGCGTGGCTGCGCTGAATCGCGCAGAGAACTTCGGGGACTTGCGCCGCCTGCCGCAGCTCCGTGATGCCATTGTGTACATCTTAGGCGCTGACTAGCAGCCGTCGCCAACAGAGATGTGACAAGGGAACTCCCACACGCAGGGCTGTCGCTGCAGCTGCCGCTGCAGCAGCAACCGCAGCAGGCAGCACGGGCTGCATGGTGCCCAGGCACTGCAAGCAGATGAACAGCGGCACGCAGGAGCTTGGAGCAAAAGCAGCGTGCACGCTGCACCAGCTTTTGCTGCTGCGGTAGACTGTTGCAGTGCAGTAGGTACAACAGCTGCAGCGGCAGCAGGTACGGCAGCAGTATCGCATGCAGCAGTATGACCTAATGAGTGAGCAGCAGCAAAGAGGAGCAGACGCCCGTGTGCAGCAACGGCAGTCTCAGTTTGCAGTGAGAAGGATGGCGTGTTTTGAATAGAAGGGATGAACGTCTCTGTTCCGTTCTGCTGCCCCTTTGTGGCAGCAAACCAACTTATCCGTCTTAGCATATTGACTTAAGTAATTACGATGTACGCATTTCGTCACTGATTTTGCTGCCGTTGCTGCTGCTGCACCCAAAACTGAGGAGCGCAGGGGAGTGGGGAGATACGGAAGGGGGGCGCCAGCTCGTAAGAGGCAGTTGTTCACAGACCTAGTAGCAAGCTTGAGAGCAGAGGCAGTGTGGAGACACCGCGGCACACGGCGCCGCAGCCAGAAAGAGGCAGTAGTCAGCATTGAGCTTCAGTGGCACGCCCGTAAGCCGAGTAACACCGAAGAGCCGCGGCAGCAGGACCCGCAGGTGCGATGGAGAGCAGAACAGGAAACACGCTAGTGAACAACCAGGAGACACAAAACAGACCCACACAGAAAGACTGACGACAGTTCGAGACGAGCAGAGAGAAAGAGGTGGAGACACAAAAGGGAGACACACGCAGAAGAGGAGCAGATATTTGCCGGGGATGAGACATCCCTGAGGGCTAATGGAAAACCTCAGGAGCAGAGGTGCGCCGTCGTCCCCCACCAGTAGCAAACAGAGAGGAGACAGAGGAACGAAAGAGGTCAACACGGAGTGTCACAGGTGGCTCAGAGAAGGAAAGAGACGCAAGGAAACAAAAAGAGCACAGACCTGCACACGTCCACGCAACGACGAGAAAACAGTAGCCACCTGTGTTCCTTCGCGAGTGTCTGTGTCTCTCTCTTGGGTGTCTCCACCTGCGAGTCTGTGCGAACTGTGTCTTCTGCCTCCCGCCCCCCCCCTCCCCGTTGTTGTGTATCTCCGTCTTTGCCTGCCTAGCGTTGTTTGTCCTTTTCCTTGCCTCTCTCTGTTCGGCTGCTGGCCGTGTCTGCACTGCCCGTCTCTGGCGCTACCTGCTGCCGTGTCCCCCAATTGGTTCCTCTTCTGCCCAGCACTGCCGCCGCTCAGCATTCAGAACAACAGGGCCCCCCGTAAGCCGCTTGGCGATCGTTCTGTTTTGGCTCCATTATCCTTTACAGCTCGGTGTCCGTTCTTAAGGTAAAGGCGTTTGCGTCGATGTCTGCCTGCGACGACCCCGTCTACCGGATCACCGCACAGGCCGCAGGCTGTTTTACTTACATCTATGTACGTTTGTTCAAAAGGACCTTTTCTACACTGCTTAGCCAAACAGGCGTTCCTCTGCTTACACCGTGGAGCAGCAAGCTCCCCCAAGCGGCCTCATTTCGGAATTTCTAACAGACTTCCCACTATAAGAAGCACGATAAAGACAGAACACCACTGCATTGCAGCTAACTTACATGCCAACCCTCAACATGAGCTTTATGGAGATCGACTTGATGCCGCTTCAGGTGTCGAGACAGGCCAGCAGAAAGCCAGTAAGAGCTAAAACGGAGGCGTCCCGCAGTCATCTGCAAAGCATGCAGCCGCTCCCGCGAGTAGCAGCGGCCAGCTACATCTGGCAGAAAGTAGCCTCTACTAGCAACTGAAGCCTGATTGCGTACTGCGTCATGCACCGAAAGTCTGCAAGCTAATGGCAACTCTGCCGGTGTTGTGTGCCAGTGCGGCCCCAATTGGCCCACTAGCTGCCGCCAACCGACGTATCAAGTGTGGAGCGGCTGCAGCCGTTCCCGCTGCTGCTGCAGCTGCTTCCGCTGCTTGCGCCCTTGCTGGCGCCATGCAGTGGCAGCAGGAGGCCCCCAAAAGGGAAATAACTACCCAGTGCCTGTGCTTGAGAGTCAAGACGCACCCGACAGCGCATATGTCACTGCGGGGAAGGAAAAGACAAGAAAAGAATTGAAGATCGAGGTCAGCTCACGATAGAAAGACTGCCACTATGGACAGAATGGGAAGACCCAAGCCGCACCTCCAACAAAATGCTATAGCATTCATTTTGTTGCAGTCAATGGCTCAAGTGAAACTACCCTGCCGCCCTGTTTCTGCTTGTGTTGCTGACACTCTCCTGCCGCTGCCTCCACCGACGCTACAGCTGTTGTTGCTGCTGCTGCCACTTTCACTTTCACATCACCTCAGTCACAGCGGCATTTTGCCGCCGATGCATATTTGCAGTATTTGTTCATGCTGCTTGTTCGAATCTACAGACGTGTATGCCCTTCGGCTTCTGCAGCGCCAACGGCAGCAGCAGGTGCTGCCTTTGCTGCTGTTGCCATGGCTGTTACTGCTGCATAGTGGTGTGTGGGGAAGCTTAACGGGCACCGTTGCACTCTCCCGGCTCGCAGATAGAGAGGAGGATACCTCTTACAAAAAACAAGACTGGCTGACTGCCTGCGTATATGTCTTGCTGCTGCGCCAACAGAAGCCGAATGCGTTCGTCCGCAGCAGCAAGTGTAGAGAAGGCTGTTTGGTATCCATCGGTTCCTTCGTGGTGGAGGTCTGGATACGTTGCTGTCAACCCGCTCCTTGCTGCAGCCACTGCTGCTGTTGCCTTAAGGACCACCTGCTGCAGCAGCGCCTCCCACAGAGAGTCGTCGGGAACCGAACTAAATAGATTCTGCTCGGCTGCGAGGGCCAGATACGTAACGGCAAGCTGACGTTCTTCCTCTGCCAGCTCCTGCAGTTCCGTCCACTTGCGCCTAACGAGCCTCATATCGATGCCGTCAGCAGTCCCTTCGGCTGCTGCTGCGGCGGCTGTTGCTACTGCTGCGTCTGCGGCCATTGCTGTTATTCGAGAGTATTCCCTCGGCGGGGGAACTGGCGGAGTCTCTGCTGCTTTGTGCATTGCTTGCTGCCTCTCCCGTTTGGCCAACTGTCCGCTGGTCGTTCGACGCTGGGCCACTAGTGAGAAAGGGGGGATACTATGCCGTCGCTTGGGTGCTGCTTCTGTTGCTACGTCTGAAATGCGCATGGGGAAGAAGGGGGCAAGTTCTTGGAAAAGACAAGCACATCGCTTGAGGAACCCGTCCTTGACGATCCCCAGCTTCAGCACCATCTCTGTGAAGGCAGACCACTTTGAAGTCAGCAGGAAGGGCGCAGCGAGGGCAAAGTCCGTCATTTCCTTCAGACCAAGCCCCTTGACGCGGTCTCTCAAGCCGCCTTCGTGGTCGTTGCTGCCTTCAGTACCGCTGGCGTCGCCACTTGTGCTGGGGTCGAGGCAGATGAGCGAAAACCGCTCGCAAAGTGATTGCTGCAACCGGGGGAGTCGCGTGACATACTCGCTGCTGACTTGGCGAGTGGCATCTGCAGCAACTGTCTGTTGGCGCAGCGTCATCCACCAGCCGATGGGGGTCGTTGGCGTTGCAAGGACCACACTCTCGTCAACAGAGCTGTGGCGAAGGCGCCTGCGTGCCGTCGGTGCCACGCCCATAAGGAAGATAGTGATCGCCACGACCCAAATAAGCTGGAAGGTGGTGTGTTTCTCTGACGAAGAGGCCATCTGGCCGGTGCCCCCCGAACCCCGGGGGGTGGGGAGCAGGGAGAGAGGAAGGCTCCGAGACGAGCACGAGCACGCTGATCACCAAACCTTTGATGGTAGCAGCAGACATCCAATAATAAGCTGTCCAGAAGCTAGTCTACGCCGGAGGAGGCAGCCGAGCAGGGGCGTTGGGTTGTCGCCTCCAGCTGCAGCACTGCGGATGCCGATTGCGTCTTTTCCTGCTACTTCGGAGAACGCCGGTCCCCTGAAATGGTCTGAAAGTGAGTCCTCCTCAGTTCTTTTCGACGGAAGAACTCCTACTTGCACGAAAGAGAAAAGCAGCCCCCACGCCGCAGCTGCCGATGTTCCAGGGATGGCATCACGCACGGCACAATAACCGCGTTGCCTGGGGACCTGTAGTTTCGGGTTCCTCAAAAAAAACGCTAAGTTAGATCAATACGAACAAAAGCACCAACCAATATTCGTTTAAGACGATGAGATTACAACTAAGAGGCGCCAAGGCACAGCCACGTCGCGGGCAAAGCCTGGTGCCAGCTCGGCGAATACATGTGCGGCCTTCAATCCCTTGTTGTCTCCCGGCGTTTTTCTTCCTCTTTAGGCTTTGAAGAGCACTGGTGTCGACTATCACTGCGTGTTAATTGCTAAATAGGAACGGGAGAGGCCTCACATTTGCCTCTGCGACCACCTGTGGGGGAGGACGGGGTGGGTTTGCTCCTCTACCTGTTTACACTCGAAGGCGCGTGGCCCAAAACGCATTGAAACTACCCTCCACGAGTTTTGGCTGCGTTGCGCAGAGGCTTCTCAGCATTATTCGCCTTTCTTAAGGGCTACAAAGCAGCAGGCAAGGTAGTCCATTTACGGTTCCATGCTAACTCGCAGGCAAGCAGGATGCTCTGCACGGCGCCAGCAACAGCGCCCGATGGTAATGTTGTGGATAACTGCGTCCACCCCGTCAGCATTCAGGGTATATTATTTGTAGCGTCTTGAGGTACTTTTAATACCCCCCCCCCCCCCCCCCCCCCCCCCCCCCCCCC